TTGGTTTATGACTTGGCTCTTGTTTAAAACAGTTTTTTGACTCGGCCAAATGAATCAAAACAATTTTTAACACCCAGATTCAAGCTTATAAGACCAAATTTTCCAATATAAATTTCAAACAAACAAATCCACATATTGCCAGGTGGAATCTATATTGACTTTTGGCAATCAAATCATTCTGAGTTAAGTTATTCATAAGCCTATGTTTGAAGAATTTTTCTGTATTTTAGATAGTTATCGGAATGTTTGCGATATGCGACATTAATTACATAATTTTTGCGTAGAGCTACATAACAATTATAAAGTATAGTATCAATTTTTGATAGGCCGATGGTCATGGAATCCTCTCATAAGTCACAATAATAAAGATCATTACTATCAATTAAATTGTAAACTTAATGGCATAATCATTGTCACAAACCCAAAAACTATAGTCAACCGTGTTATTTCAAGTTTCATAAACTCCCCAGCTTTTGTCGTCGTTTTGTAATCTGAGAATATGGAGATATTAATAGAAGTCGACCCAGCTAGTACGACTATGAGCAAATTAAATGGGCAAGGTTATTAGTCTGGTTGGGAGAGGGAGTGCAAACTTGTGACTTTATCAAAAGCAAGTTGTGACCCTCTGTTCGAGCAGTATTATCCTTGAAGAACAAAGAGAGGAAGCTGCGCCATTCATATGAAAGTTCGTACAGCCCCTGCCCTTACCGCAGCCCAAATTCCAAACCGGTGAAACAGTCGCAAACAGTGTCCCTATTCAAAACGTTAACCCTTTCCCCATCCTCTTAATTTCCCACTGGGAAAATGTGAGAAGTGAGAATTCACGGTTTTCTGCTTCGTGAAAATGATTAACGCCTATTCACAATTGAACTGGCTTTTATCTTGTGTAATATTCCAATCGAGAATTCAACATATAAATAGTGATATATATTTACGAAGACAAAAAAAACATGCATCTCACAACTTTTGTTTAGAAAACTTTTAGCCTTTCTGAACTGAAGAAAATACTCGACGACTGAACCCTCCTTTTAAATTAAGGTTTTTAGTTGAGATAAAAAAGTCAATGGCACGAGCGGGATTCGAACACACGATCTTCGGCTTGAAACGCCGCTGCTCTACCACTTGAGCTATCGTGATCTCGATCCACTCGGACACCTAACTTCCCATCTCAACCGCACCTCTTGAATTTTCCCACCTTTTTGCCATTTTTTGCCTTTTACAATTTCCCCAGTTATACTTGCGAAATTGCAAAATAGTGTGCTAATTTATCCTTCTATCAAAATACAGTTTCAGCTTTGTTACTATTTTACAAATATTTTTATCTTTTAACAGAACAATAGATTTTGTTACTTAAATGTTTTGAGTGTTCTCCGAAGCTGAAATTAAGCTGGAAAAGGCAGCCAAAGATGTACCGCTGTTGTTATAGAGATTCAGAGTTATATTGCATATGGATTACTCATGGAATTATGCATGTCTGTTAAACTGGTTTGTCTTAGCCAGGAACTTTCATGCACTATTACATGGTTTATCAGCTTTTGATGTTACCGTGATGGAAGGATATTGAAATATTTCTAATTAATTACAGTTACATTGCGTACTATTGTGTTATTTAACATTTTAGCATAATGAAATTCAAAGTTTCTGAGAATTCACAGTAAGGTAGCCTGTCTAGATGTTTATAATTTATAATTGTCACTTTTCATTATGACCGACTAGGTGTTTGAAGGTCCGCTGTGTGCTTAAAAGCGAAAAATAAGAAATTTCATGGTATTTGGCTTTTGGACAGCCCCTCATTTGTCAGAATAAACAAGTATTTTGTCGTCATCTACTGTGTTATTATTGGGTTGTCCGGAAAATAATGCAGGATTTTAAGTTTTCATTAAAAAAAATCTATATAAAATATTCTGTTTACGTTTACAGGATTACTCATTTGTATGNATGGGAAATTATTTTGATTAAAGAACATTGCTTTAAAGTAACTAGTTTCTTTTTTTTTGTTTAATACCAAAATCCTGCATTATTTTCCGGACAACCCAATAAGTAGATTAGAGGGTTTCGATACAATTTTTCCCGGTCGTTACACATTTTCAGTAGTCCGAGTTAGTATTGACATTAATTAACTCTGAAAACCTCTGAAAACATAAGTTTATATTTCAGATTTACATTATGATCCTTGATTTTAATTCACCACTATCAAATTTAAATACAAAATTTTTCTATTTTTCCTGTTTCTGAAGAGATAAATGTAATGTTTAACTAATTAATCATTATGTAAGGTATTGGTTGAAATAAAAAAGCCAGTGTCACGAGCGGGGATTCGAACCCACGGCCTTCGGCAAAATACGCCGCTGCTCTACCACTTGAGCTACCGTGACTTCGATCCTCTCGGACACCAACTTTCCATCTCAATCCACCTTTCGAATTTTCCCTCCTTTTTGCCCATGTCATATAATGGATGTAATGTTTAACTGTATAAAAGCATACGGCCTGGTACCGTGCAATCTGAACCAATAGATATTTCCAATTAAGGTTTGGGCTTATTATGCAAATTATTATTTATATGTAGTGTATTGCATCATCTTGCATTTTCAAAAAAAAGTGAAAAATACAAAATGTAAAATTGCAATCGACTTTTTTTTATTATTTATTATACTGGGCATGAAGAAAGTTTATATATTATTTACAAATTGGCCTAATAAAATTTTTCAACATATTTGCCCGTCTTGTAATGGGAATTTGTGACTTATTGAAATCGTTAGTTTTGAGACAAAAAACATGATCTTTTACCCAATTTTCACATCACTGTAGCTTCAAAAGTGTTGTAGGTAGAGTAAAATATATTGAATAGAGACAACTATGTTTGGCGGTATCTAAAGCTTATAAATTTATAAAGAAGGAAAAGCAAGACGCATAAGCTTTCCATTTGCTCCCTGTATCAAAAAAAATCTTTAATCAAAAAATCATTTACTGCAGCATTTTATTAATATTCAATATTAATGATCAACAGATAATTTTGGTTTAAATATTTAAAAGCATAGGGTAAGAAACCACGCAATCTGAAACAACAGCTTTTCCAAATTAATGTTTTGGGTTTATTTTGAAAACTAGCTCATTATATTTGCAACCTTTTGTTACCAGTGGGGAATGCATTGTTTTACGATACTTAAAATTAAAGGTTTATTATTAATTAATAAAACACGCCTAATGCATGGATTACGCTTGCTGGTTAATGTAGAGTTCATAAAAATTCCACCTCGCTTGATTTCGACAAATATTTCCGTTAAAAAATTGAAGATTAATCTTTTTTATGCGTGTTTGTTTTGCTCGTTGGTTTATTGCTAGTTTCAAAGTTCAAATGTGTAAAGTTAACATAAAATAGCAAAAATAAAAAATATTGTAATGCTTTAATTGAGGAGCTGTGAGCCAGAGTTATCTGTTGTATGTTGTATTTTCTGTTCGAGGTCCGTATGGTTAATTCGAGAAGAATATAATATTAAAAATATTTAGTTTTAACATTTTAGAAGGTGATTTCGGAAATAAAATGTGGGATGGCCACTCTGGCTGTAGGCTCCACAATTATTATTGTCACAAAGTAAAGTGACGTATACTTCTAACCAAGATTTAATATTATTTATGACAATCACAAGTTAGCCATTTCGTGTAATAGTAAAGAAAAGGAACAATTGATGTCACTAATAAGTAAAAGTCTTCATTCAAACTAATTGCTTTATAATTTGCGTCCAATTATCTGTGATTTTGCGTCAAATTTTCAACAAAAGTTATTTTTAAGCAAATGACTCGCGTGGGACGTTTTAACCCTTCGCTAGTAAACAAGTTGGTTAAATTTGTTTAAATGTAGGTCAATGCTCATCCCCGGTTTACACGCAATGTCTGCACATATTTTATACGTTTAAAAATTAAAGAACAATAAATGTCGAAATTCTTCTGGAATTAGTTTCTTGTAGAAATTATTTCAAATAAACATGGTGGTTAGTCAAAAATCAATCCTACTATATCGAACGTCTCCGAGAATGACTATATTTAATGACTCCTGTTAAAAAAATATTAGGCAGAGTAAAAATATGGCAGTATTTTTTATTAGTATATACAGATAATAGACATCAGTATATCTACCATCTTAGCCATCTATCTAAATTGTATTAAATATTTATTTAATTATTAATGTGTGGTGTTTAGTGACCGTTAGTTAATGATAATGATTATTCGGAGATAGTGAGATGCGATCTGGTGTGATGTAGGTTTTAGAAAAAACATTTTTTTTCGTGCCAACGTTTCGGTCTTTATTAAGATCATCATCAAGGCCTTGGATTTATAAACATTGTTTAAATTGTACAAATGCATGTAGGATGTGAAAAAAATGAATTTATATAATGTTAGAAATTTTTATATTCAATCAAAGTATTTGTACTCAATCAAAGTGTGTGTTTTCTGCGTAATTTAATCACAATTTATTTGCATTTTTGAAGAAAAAATGTCCACTTATATTGGGAAAAAACAGCAAATTTTGGAGACGATTTTACATCATCAACGGCTGGCTGTGTCAATACAATAAGTTAGATCAATTAATCAATTAATCCATTATATTTAGTGGTCTATTGACCAAATTACTTCTTTCTATTAATTAATCTTTTTATGTAAGGTTTTGGTTGAAATGAAAAAGTTAATGTCAGGAGCGGGATTCGAACCCACGACCTTTGGCTCGAACTCACGATAGCTCAAGTGGTTAGAGCAGCGTCGTATTGGGCCGAAGGTCGATGGTTCGAATCCCACTCGTGACACTAACTTTTTCATTTCAACCAAAACCTTACGTAAAAGTAAAAATCAATAATTTTTTGCCGTTTTTCAGTACATGCGTTGAGAGAGTGGGTAAAATGAAGCTGTTTACGCCAGGAAAAATTATAATTTACATATTTCATAATTTGTGTGGCTTTCGAGGGCTTGTGGTTGTGGCCTATCTCGCGGGGATGTTTTGGCCGGGCCGACCTTTGGGCCCGGGCACTTATTGGGGCAGGAGAAGAGCCGCAGGCTCAGTAGTAGGCAGTCAGGTCTTAACCACGCCAATATCTCCGTATCATTTTTTTTTCTTTTTCTCGATTCTTGCGATTTCTCTCGTCATCATCCCTCGACACTTGTCCCTGGCTTCAACGACGATTTACCAACAGGAGCAGGTCCGGATTCGGGCCAGAACTCCAACATCCAGCCCAGCGCCGTCAAGCAGTAGCCAGAAGGTGAGTGCCCCGCATGCGATTTTTTTTCTTTCTCCGCTTTCCTCCATAATTCAATTCCCCACAATTAATTTTCATTTCATTTTCATGAGCTTTCATTTGTTCTTTCTTTATTTTATTTTCAGTTCACATTTTTTCGCAATAGCCGTAACTTTGTCTTTTATTTATTTTTTTTAAATTTTATACCATTAATTTATTATTTTATTTTATTTTCATTCGGCAATTCGCCGAAACAGAATCTTTGAAATAATTAACAAGTACCAACAAACGTTCTATTTTCTAACATTTACTATTACATTGGTGTAATTCATCCATTAATATACCATTATCTTAGTACGTATTAGCAATTTCCTTTCTTTGGAGTTTTCATGGAGATATGGCAGTAAGCTCAAATCTCAATTTTGATTTGGAATCGTTTCCCTTGGAAATTCTTTACATTAAAAAAATATTATAAATATAATAAATCATAAAAACTTTTTAAAATTACAACGCCGTGAGTACAGACGGACCCAATAATTGACCCAGTGCCGGTTCAGCATGAGTTCACCGACTCATAGGCCAAGTTATCGACTGCCTGCCGCGACAAATCGCTTTTTGTCTGGCCAGGGCTCTCAAAGGATTACTGGGCGTAAATTTATGCTGGATTAGACTACTAAAAAGTAAATAAACATCCCATAAGCTTTCCAATGGAGGATAGATGGCGGCTAAGGGTCTTTCGACACTCCACTCACTCTAGCAAGTACATTAATTATTCAGAAATCGTGAGATGCGGTCTGGTGTGATGTAGGTTTCAGAAAAAGATTTTCTTCATCGCGCCAACGTTTCGATCTTTATTGAGATCATCATCAGGGCTCAAAGTTTTTGTCTTCTGTGTAATTGTGGCAATCTTGCGTGTCGTGTTGAGAGTGCCACTCTCGGGCGGGCCATTTAAATATTGTTTATAAATCCAAGGCCTTGAAGATGATCTTAATAAAGATCGAAACGTTGGCACGAAAAAAATGTTTTTTCTAAAACCTACATCACACCAGACCGCATCTCACGATTTCTGAATAATTATCGATTAACGGTCACTAATCACCACACACTAGCAATTAAGTAGTAGTACTAGTAAATTTGTGTCTGGATTTGAGCAAGATGAATATCCATTGTAGGACGCCTTGAACCTTCCTTCCTTTGTAAAGACGTATCATTAAATTTTTGAAACCAACACCACGGGGTGCACTGGTCAAGGATTCCATCCTATTTTGTTTTAATAATTTTACGAGCTGCTTCAGTGGCTATAAATTTTAATAGTGAATAATGTCTTAATACGACAAAAAGTTCGTAAATAATCTCCGTATTTCTTTCTGGACAAAATTAATTTAAATAAGGCTTTATTGTCTCAGTTGAATGTTTATAGCAAGCTGCTTAGACATTGGTACACGTTGAATAGTATTAACTCAATTATTTTCCTGAAGACCCTTAGTTAAAAGAACTGACACTTCAAAAATTTATATCCAACAGTATTGACGATGTTCCAAAACTGTGGATTGATGTTAATAATGATCGATTTTTGACGACGTTGATTGACTTTTGCCCTTCCGAAGTATATTTGTAATAAAGTTGCTTCTTTATGCGCTATTCCTGAAAAGGAAAGGGCTAGTTTTTATTACAGTCTAGAAGATTTATCATTATTATTACTTTAAAATTTACGACCCAAACTTTATGACGTCTTTGTCGTAGCGGTTTGAACGGCTTAATAAAACTTTGGGCCATTTTTCCTCCGAACCTAATTTACATTCTTGTGTTTCCAACCGGCACCTTTGTCTAAAACGTATATTTAGAATCCACCCCGTACGACGATTCCTCTATTAACGCAACTTGGCAGAATTCAGGGTGTTACCGCCCGTGTTATTTATAACGCACGTCCCTCTCTAATTGGAATTTTGATCTTGCCTTCTGGGGACGGCAGGATTTAAAGTAGTCGATACGGTCGTCAAGCTGGTAAACTCGGCCTCAAGTCCAATTATCGACCCTATATTAAAATAATCCCCCTCACAAAATGCCTGGTGATACGGTGCCGGTGGAATTGAATTGAATTGGTAACAGTTTACCTTCGAAACAAAGGGTAGGGCAGCACAAAACAAAATGTTTTCATTCCAACTATAAAGCCAACTTAAGCTTTCCAATACAATTTGAAACTTTGGTGGAATTTAGAAAACAAAAACTGAGTAAATTTATTGCATTGTTCTTGTTTAGTTATCGTTATCCTTTCTCGTGAAACAATGTAGTCTGCCATGACATTAGTTTTGCTAGGTTTGGTTAAGTGTTATTTCTTTGAGTCTTTTGTGGGGGTTTTATGTAACTATAACTTTTTTTTATTGACCTTAATATTTTGTAAATGAGAATCTGTTTTTGTCATTTTCTTTCTTCGCGATATCACGTTTAAAATTTTTAAATTTTTGACATACACATGAATTTAAATAAATTGTAAAATGTCTTTTTAGGGAAAAATTCATTAAGGAGTACTTTAGGTCCCATTTGTAGCATTTTCACGTTTTATTTTTTTAGATACTCGCAAGAGATCCTTCGAGAATTTCGGTTGATAATTTAAGCTTCGATTATTTGTCAATAATGGTCTATCCTTGTTATTTTGGTTTCAGTGCTTAATCTAAGTAAACCAGCAAGAATAAACAAACCAAAATGACCAGAAACGACTTCTCTTGAACCAATGACGCTATAAAAAATTCGTATTTTATATTATTTAGTCTAGTTTCAAATTTTTATCTTTCTTTAGAGAAAAATTATACAGGGTAACTCAGGACCAGGTCAACTTCAAAATTTCAATACGACCTTTATACATCCTGATACATGATTTTCAAGGATTTTTTCGCTGGAAACAATGGTGCAATTGATATTTTAAATTGGTCAAAAAATGACAAAGTTATGGCAAAAACGTGAGGAACTGAGCACCATTAACTTATTTTCGTAGAAATTAGGCCCAATAAATTTATTTTCGAGATGTCCACACCACACTGAGACACTGATAACTTTGTGTGTTTATTTTTTGAAAAATCTAAAACCCTTGCATCATTTCGGAGAGAGGAATTCTGATTTTTGCGAACATGCAGTAAAAAATATTCTGCCCCTCGTTGAAGGCTACCGGTTTCTTTTTGTCATAACTTTGTTATTTTTCGACCAATTTTAAATCCAATTGCAGCATTGTTTTCAGCGTAAAAAAATCCTTTAAAATGATTTGTAAGGATGTGTAGGGTCGTATTTGAAATGTTGAAATTGAATTAGGCCTGAGGTACCCTGTATAATTTTTCTCCAAAAAACAGTAAAAATTTGAAACTAGACTACTAAAAAATGTTAAAGAAGTACTTTTTGTTTTTTGATAGCATCATTGGTTCAAGAGAAATTCTGCCGGGTCATCGAAAAAGAAGACCCTGAATAGACAGGGAAGTAATTTCAAAAAATACTTGTTATCAGCTCCATATAATCATTATAGGAATGCACTGTCGAAATTTCAGCTCTTTAGATCCAGCGGTTTGGTCTGTGCGTTGTCAATCAGTCACGAAAATGTTTTATACATAGAGATGTTATGCCTCAACGTACCACCAGGTATTCAATTTTCACGATTTCAACATGAAATTTAATCACCTTACTCGATGATTATACTATCATTCTTCAAACTTCCCTAACTATCATTTTCCATCAATTTAATGCAAATGTAAAATTAGCAAACAGAAAATGTGTGAAAAATTGTTTAATAGAGCCTTGCCGATTTTCAATATCGCTAATAAATATGGTACACGAGGAGTACATTATGTATTGTTTTTCGTTTTAATTCGAAAATCCTTAAATCATCTTTTTTTGTAAAACTTATTTTACCGATCTCGTTGTCCGGTATGGTATCTCGAGGTTTAATTAAAAAGGTACGCGAGAGCAATAAAACGTTTTGAGTTGTTGAATGTTCATTAATTAAGCGGTCAATGTAACGTAGGTGTATACGTGAAAGGGGAAACAAGCGAAAATGGAAAATACGTTCTCGACCCTTTACAACCAACCAGTAAAACTACCCTAAAACACACAAAGTTAACACTTTCTTCGAATCGGTTGCTGCTACCATCGGCCGATTTACCATGCAACACGCACACAAGATTAATTATAATAATTTTACAAAACAATAACAATTTTCCGTGAAAAAATACAATAGAGTTTCTAATTAAACCGGTTTACATGTTTTGAAACTTATAATTAAATTGGATTCAAATAAATAGAAATTTTAAACAGTGGTAAGTATCCAGTACATTGATCAAATTTGATATGAATTTTTATATTTATTAGGTTTCGTGGTCCGCTTGACCAAATAAATTCTTTTCGATTAATTAATCTTTAATTAATGTTTTGGTTGAGATAAAAAAATCAGTTTCACAAGGGGGATTTGAACCCACGACCTTCGGCTAGATTTGCCGCTGCTCTACCACTTGAGCTATCATGAGTTGAAGTCTAGCCGAAGGTCGTGAGTTCGAATCCCGCTTGTGACACTGACTTTTTATCTCAACCAAAATCTTAATTAAAGATTAATTATTTGAAATTAATCACAACCTCATCGGAATTATCATTTGAGATAAAATATTCAATATACTTACGCAACTCTGTTTATTTCATGTACCAATAAGCATTAATTAGAACTGATACATTTTATTATTTTTTTATTAAACAAAAATTCGTCATCAAATCCTTCATTTTATAATGATTTATCAAATCCAATAGCTTTAAGCAATTACGACCCTAAAGAAAGTAGAGTCGAGCAACATACGACTTATAATGTATTTGATTGTTATGCCGTTATAAATAAAGATCATTTTTAACACGAAAAAAATCTAAATTGGTAATAAAAACGGTTATCGTTAACAACTATCTAGACCATTCAACAGTTCTTCAGTAAGCCACCCCCTTTCGAAAGTAAACCCCCGCTCAACACTGCGATTTTATAACAAGTTATCTGGTTCTTTTAT